ACTTTCCCATCGCACGAAATAAGACCGCCCAAATGCATACCGTCCCTCACTGCATTTATGTGCTCACCACTTCGTGATGGTATTGCCCGGTCTGTGGAAATTTGTATGTGTAATGTCTTTCCCCAAATAAGTTCCAGGCCATACTTCCGACCTTCCTCCACGATTGCTGCCAGCACTTGCTGATGGTTGGAATAATGATGAGACACCAACATTGTATCATCAGCGTACAGAATACCACGTGTAATCACAAAATCAGGCTCTGCGAGTAGTTCAAGGGTGCCATACACAGCATGCAGCATTAGAGTTTGTACAATGATGAACAAGTACGGCAAAAGCGGGCAGCCCTGGGCGATCCCGGCGCGTTGTCGTCGTTCAGAAGAGCGGCCTGCATCATTTTCGATTGTGAAAAATCTTGCGGGGTAGATCGAGCGCACCATTTCCACCATACCACTTGGCAGGCCGAAGCGTCCGAGAGCATCACACATACAGTCTGGCTTAAGTATATCGAAAGCTTTCGCCCAATCCAACAACAAGTAAAAGCAGACCAAGTAAAAGCCTGTGCCAAGGCGCGGCCGGAACCCAAATTGCGAGTCTCTTATTCGTGTTTCTGCACATCCTTGAACCAAATGGTTGTGTAGTATTGATGCCAGTACCTTGTACCCCACGGGCAATAGCGATATCGGTTTGTAGTTCTCTGGCAAAGCGGCGTTACCACTTTTGAAAAGCAGTGCAACGTTTGCTCTCTCCCAAGATTCAGGGGTTGCTTCTCGCACCCAGCATTGTTGACAAATGTTGAAGAGTATGTCGCTGGCCGCTTCGTCGGAAGCCAAAACCTTCCAATAATCAGGGGGAATGTCGTCAGGTCCCGCTGCCTTACCCTTCTTCAGCTTGCGGATCACGTTCTGAATCTCGTTCAAGGTGAATGCACCCATGTCGATTGGAAGTTCGTCGCCAAGTTGCGCTTGGTTGTCTGAGCGGTGATCGGAAAACTTGTGAAAAATCTCGGGACCCACTTCTTTCGTGGCGAGCACAAGACCAGCTCGATGCAAGCCGCCGCGCGAGCCAGAACGCGCGACAGGAAGCGTGCTCCACCATGTGATCGTTTTCTGATTCATTGTTTTGCCGATCGCCGCGGGCCCTCGCACCCCCCCCCTCCCCCCCCCCCCATGGAGTAGATATTGGCTGTTTGGAGCGCCTGCTTGGAGCAGGTGGAGTCTCCCCCCATAGGACGCACTGCTGCAAACAGTCGCACTAAGCAGAGGTCCAGAGCCAGACCCCCAGCCCTCCCCCCCTTTCCTCCCAATGCCGAAACGCCGAATAAGAAAACGTTGACCATGCTGGCCCGGTGCAGGGCTGGCGTCGTCGAGCTCTCGGGGGGAGGCCTGGCAACACAGGTCCGCAGAGGCGTGGGAGGAGCAGCTGGCCCGCCGAGCTGGAGGGTTGGGAGGCCCCTCGGCGGCCTCGTGGTGGTATTATTGAGGTCTCTCGGGGCCTCTTGGGGCTTCTTGGTGGGGTCTTTTGCGCATCCGCGGGCTTCGTGGGGGCCTCTTGGGGGCCCGCTGGCGGTCTCGGGGGCAATCTTTCGGGGAAGGGTTCGACATGGCAGTGCGGATTTCCCCTCTTGGGGCCCTGGAGGAAGGGGGGAGAAGGGGGAGGGGCAAGCTAGGTGCGCTCGCGTCATATCTGACGTCCTATCCCTCCCTCACATCCCTTACCATGGCGTAGATATTCTCTCTATTCGCACAGTCGGATATCGAGCAGGGCAATGATCCCGAGAGGGTGCGCGATGCATCCATCGTAGAGCACGGCATAGCAGGACGTAGAAGAGCACGGCAGAGCGCAGTATGTCATAGCATAGCGTGGCGTTGCGTAGTGAAGACTTGCATCACAAAGCATTCCAACGCAAATAATGGCACCGCACAGCGGCACCGAACAGACAATGGCATAGCATGGCGTTGAAGATCAAAGCGTAGCATGGCATAACATAGCATGGCACTGCATAGTCAAGCACTGCATGTCCTAGCATTGCAGCTGAAGTCATGGCATCGCACAGTGCAACGCCACATAGCATTGCATTGCATTGCATGCTGTGGCATGGCACTGGAAATAATGACGCCAGCGCTGCAGCGGGAGCACGATTCGGAACGAGCGGAAACGCAGAAATGAGGCCAGTGCTGCAGCGGGAGCAACATGTTTTCATTTGTATAAGAATAAGAACTATGAAGAATAACGATAATATGAATAAGTATAATCGTGAAAAGTATTATGATACTCATAGTAAGAACAATAACAGCAATAATAGTATGTGAATGACCGAAAACTCCCGATAATCCTATATATAAACAAGAACGCGGAGGGGGGCGAATATCTTCAGGCCGTTATCAGGGGACGGAGGAGAGTAGTATCCATTTTGTGCCATTAACTGTTGAGCAGGGATGAGGCTCTGGCAGAGCAGGGGAGGGAGTGGGGGAGCAGGAAGAGAGGGCAGGGAGGGGGGGAGCAGGGCGAGCAGGGAGGAGAGGCCTCAGGAGAAGGGAGCAGCGTCGGCGACAGGAAGCGGTGAGAGTAGTCGGGGGCACAGCGAATGGAGGGGCAGAATGAGAGGGCATCGGGAGGGAGTGGCTGATCAGGGGCCCGCGAAGGAAGGAGATGCGAGCAGGGAAGGTGGAAGGGCGAAAGGAGCACAGGTGGAAGGCATGGAGCGCGGAGCCAACAGCACACGCCTCTCGGCGCCCAACCTGCTCGACCAGGGCCTGCTGCCTGGCGCCTGCTTCCACCGCCCGACCTCCGCCGATCGCTCCTGCTGCCCGCCGCTGCCACGCCGTGCCTGCCGCTGCTGCATGGGACCCCTGCTGCGCGCTCCAACCGGCCCTCCCCGCCCCAAGGCCTCCACGGCGACCACGCCCCCAGGGAGGGCGCCGGGAGGGAACCGGTGTGGCCGCTCGCCGTCCTGTGGCAGGTGGGGGGGGGAGGGCGGGCGTGCTTTGGCCGACCTGATGTTCTCCTCGTCGTGCGCCCCTTCTCGGGGGGGGGGGGGGCAGAGGGTGGGATGGCATAGGGTAGCGTGGAGAATCGGCTCACGTCGCTGGTGTTCCTGGCACCTCCTGGCGCTGGGAGGCGCCCAGGTATCGAGCAATGGGCCCGCCGGCGGGGCCGAAGCCAGCTGTGCGCAGCAGAGTTCGGACCCCCCCCTTTCCCTATCCTATCCTATCATTTCGTCCGGCCCGACCCTCCGCGCCCCCTCCCCCAAGCCACCTCGCGCATCGCGCCCCGTGATGCGCGGCGCGCGAGCACCCTGACGCCCTCGCGCCGCGCCCTTGCAGAAGGGCAGCAGCCGCGGCCCGGACCGTGAGGCGCGAAGCGCGATAGATCTTCGTCGTGCCCCCCTTCCGCGCCGCCCTTGCCCAGGACGATGCGCCTGCTCAGGAGGGTCTCCCCGTGCTTCGTCACTGCCCCAGTCTCGCGGGCGGCGGCCGTTGGGCAGCAAGGAGTCTGCCATCTGTTGCGAGCCCTCTGTGAGCACCCGTGCATCTCAACTCGTGGAGGCTCCGAAATGGGCACCAACACCAACTCAGTGGGGCGTCTCCGCCAGGGGATGATGATCCTGGATCTTGGCGTTGGCAATAGTAGTTCGGCCACCTGGGAAGCCAGAGCATCACCACATGGCCAAGATCGGGATCATCTTCTCTGCGGAGGTGGTAACCGCCGACGTTGGTGTCGATACCAGCCTGTCGGCCTCCGAAATTCATGAGCACGCGTGGACCGCAACGCTACCGTCCACCACCACCACCACCACCCGATTTTCCAAACCATCCTGTGGTGTTGGGCCCTCATTTTGAAGAGACAGCGCCCCGCGTCCTCCTTCCTCCTTCCTCCTCCCCCTCCTCCCTCCTCCCATGCGTGCCTCTGCTCTCTCGCATGCCCATTTCGGCAGACACACACACACACACACACACACCACCACCACCACCACCACCACCACCCGTTTTTCTGCAGCTGCCCCCCCCGCCCACCCCACCCGGGGACGCGCGCGACCCGAGCCCGCGCGCAACGCTCCCGTGCAGACGCCAGCTCGGCGGGCGACGCCGCGGGGCACCGCACGGCGAGTCGGGCCCCGCCCTCCGCCACCGCAGCCTCCCTCTCGAGCTCTGCCGCACCCGCTCCCGCGTACAGCTCCGCCTCCGTCCGCCCCTGCCTCTCCTTCGGTGGCAACTCAGGGGAGCCTCCCATGGCATCTTGCTGGCTCTTGCGAAGCGACGGTAACCGACGCTGCTCGCCGCCAATCGGCGCTCATCGACGCTAAATCTGCGCATTCTCATCGATGACCAAACGCTAGCGCACGCTAATGCACTCTACAGACAGAAGTCCGAAGGAAAACAAGGCTCCTATGATTTGCGACCCCGTCGGCTCCCGCGTATACTTCCGCCTGCGTCCGCCCTTGCCTCTCCTGCTCCTGCTAGTCCTTCCCCGCACATCCACCACCACCGCCACCACCACCCGCACTTACTGGACCCATGCGGTAGGCGTCAGACTGCAGCCTTGGTCCAAGTTGTGATGAATGTGGTTCCCAGTTGCGTGGCACCATCTTCAAGGGTTGCTCAACCAACAGCCCTGACAACGGTTTGGTTTGGATTTAGAATTGCTGCTTCTTCGACTACTGCTCGTCCATAGCGCGGGCCTCCGATTTCGATTGTAGCTTCCAAGCGGCACCGGGACTCGGGGGCATCCACTGCGACGAGTGATTTGTTTACCAAAACTGGTGTGAGGGGGTCGACCACCGAACCTGCAAAATTGAGCCCGGCGCAACCACAATTAGGGGAACGCTTCCTAAGCTGCATTGCTTGGCATTTCTTTGCTTTGCTGGGCATTGGTCCGCATTGCATTGCCTTGTTTGACATTGTGTTTGCATTCCTTGGCGTTGCTTGGCATTGCTTGGCATTGCTTGGCATGGGTTGGAATGCTTTGCATTCATTGCTTGGCATTGCTTGGCATTGTTTGGCGTTGTTTGATATGGTTCTACATTATTTGGCGTTACTTTGCATGGCTGGGCATTGCTCGGCATTGCTTGGCGTTGCTTCGTATTGCTTCGCATGGCTTGGCATCACTTGGCACGCCTTTGCATTGAGTTAAGTTGTATGATCTTGCATTGTTTGGCATTGCTTCCATTATGGCTTGGCATAGCTTGGCATTGCTTGGCATTGCTTGGCATCGCTTGGCATTACTTGGCATTTCTACGCATTGCTTGGCATAGCTTCATAAACAAGAAAGACACAAGACCAAGAAACCCAGGGAACCCCAGGAGGGCCAGCCGTTCAAATACTAAAGAAACTAGACCACAAGAACCCGTCGAACCCAGGGAACCCCGAGGAACGCGAGGAAAGCTGGCCTTTGAAACAATAAGGAAACAAGACCAGCCAGGAACCACAGAACCTGGGGAAACCCGAGAAACGCCACTGTAAAGAAACAACCCCGGGTAACCCTGAGGAAACCATTTGGCAGGAAACGAGACAAAGGAGCCCTGGCGGCCCTCGGCGCGAGTGGGTCCGGCACCCACCCGTTTCTTCAACAAGTAAGAACCCCCAAGGCAACATCTAGACGGAGAAGAAACAAGATGATGTAGATGTACCGCAATCGCTCCCACGGAAGCGCCACCTGATCGGACTGTATTTCGCTGCTCTGGTCCCCAATGCTATGCACAAGCTTTTCAAAATACACGACTGGACACGATAATCTTTCGGCGGCGAGCGAGGGGGGGAAGGGAGAAGGAGAAGGCCTTCTCAGAAGGCGGCGGGACTTGTCAGAAGTCATCTGGCCTTACGAGCCGTCTGAGAAGCCCCGCCCCTTCTCACTTACCCCCTGGGCTGGCCGCCGAATCTTGTGAGACCCTCCACCGGCCAAAACACCCCAAACCGCAAGACCACCGAGGGCACCCTCCCCCAGGATGCACAAGAGCATCAAGCAGACGCGAAGAACAGGAGAGTAACCTCCACAAACAAACCTCGATCTTATACCTCGGGCCGACCGCGTAGATCATGGCAGTTGGGTCCGCATGCGACTCGGAGACACATGTGTCTACGCATGGGGCCGTGGGCCTTCCCCACAACCACGCGCTGCCCACTGGCACCGGGGGTCGTGCCGTCGCCGTCCGTCGCCGCCGTGCGGTGCCCTGGGAACTCGCCACGCCTCGCGCTCCCGGCTGACCTCTAAGGGTCGAACGATGACGATGACGCTGACAAAGCTTGTTGAATGCTGAACGCACTGACTGACCTCTGAGGGACGAGTATAGCCACGGTCGCCTGCGTCCCGGCGTCCCACCAGCGGGGCCCAGGGCACTCCCATACCTCGCGCTCCCCACTGGCCCTGATGGTCACACGTCGCCGCCGTCGCCGCCGCGTGGGACCCTGGGCACTCGCCACTGGTTGTCGGCGCCAAGGGCCCAGTTGGGGCCCTAGGCATGCCTGGACATTTCTGCACACTTCGATTGTGCCCCGTAGTGCACCCCACGGAATGCACCCCAAATGCTGCACCGAATAGATTTCGCCGCATGAGTTGCATCCCATCTTCGATGCCTATGGACTGCACCACGTAAGCCACGTGCTGGCCTCATATGTTAACTGGCTACATGTCCCAGAGCGTGTTGCATGTTCCCCAGTTTTGCCCACGAGAGGCGCAAGACCCTGGGCTGTAGGTGCATGTGCGGCGTCCCCACAGCATATAATCCCCACAGCGCCAGTCTTCAGGCCAGCCGTAGATACAATCGTATAATAATTCTGGACCCGAAGATACTAGCGCAAACATGTGTTGTACTGGCCCAGCTTACCTGAGCCTGACCAAACCTAACTACGGTAGCCCAACATCCACGGCCGACTGTAAGTCATGCTGGCATGCCCTGCCGTTGACGTCATCGACAGTGGCTAATTACCCTGGACTACCGTAGCGTTGGCCTTCTCCTTTAAGTACCATCACTCGTCTCAGCAATAGCCTTCACTGGCCGAGCTGACCTGCGCTTGCTACAGACAGAACGAGTAGCACTTAACAATATATGGTGCGCTATCCTCCAGACCCATATCCAATCCTAAGGGCACCCCAGTCCTGGATCTTGCATTCACGGCCATGTCCGTCCAGAGAGCCTCCACCTGAAGAGAGTCACAGAAGGGAAGCAGGGAGGGCGCCAGCCATGCCGCGGGGAGTGGCGGAGTCGTGGGCAGCGCGGCCTTGTTCCCCACATCTCAAGTGGGGCTCTTGCTTTCTCTGGCCACCCTGCACTGGAGAAACAAACGGAACGCACCCTGAACATAGCCCTCGTCAGCACCGTGACCCCAGCCCTCACTTTTCTGTCGCAGCGGCTTGGCACCACGCTGCGGTCTTAGCCTACGCAGCTTGGTGCCTACGACTCGTAGGCACCCGAAGGGCACTGCGGGGCCCTAGTTGGGCACAGCCGGCCAAGAACGGGAGGAGCGCGGACGGGGGTAGAAGGAGCCGCGGACGGCGGAGCACGTTCAGAGCATGCAGCTCCTGTGCGTGCGTGCCAGAGCACACGCCTGCAGGGCAGGAGGAGGGCGTCACCCCAACCCTTACAACCAGCCTCGTTCTTTCGGACGCCCGGGGTCACCACGGGGACAGGCCTACACATTGAAACAAGGAGAATGGGCGGCTAGACGCGTGTCCGCTTGTCTTGGATCCCTCGACTAAACGAACGTGATACGAACCAAGGCGACCGTCTCGGCAGCGAAAAAAGAAAACTGTACCTCACGCTGAGCCTCACCCTGTCCCCTGCCCTCTGGCCCATCACTCACGAGGGGTGGCCGCACTCCCGCCCTCGCAGAGCTCAGGGGTTGGCTCAAAGGTTCGCCTGTTCGGCGTTCACCATCCCCGCCACCCCCATCATCACCCTCACCATGCCCCCTCGCTTTCCCTCTCGACCCCTCTCGTTTTCCCTCTCACTGACCATCTCACTGTCCATCTCACTGTCCCTCTCACTCCCTCCTCTCTCTCACACTCCCTCAGTGTCGGATGCGCCACGGTGCCAGCGGTCGGCTAGCCCGAGGCGCGCGCCAGGGAGTCGGGCCCCATGCAAGAGAAGAAGGAGTCAGAGTGGAAGCCGCAGAGCAGAGCCGAGGATGAAGATGAGGAGGAGGACCCGAAACAATGGAAAGGCACAGGGAAGGTCACCACAAGGCGGGAGGCTCCACCTGCGCGTCCTCTGGGTACGGGAGCGAGCCACAGAACGCGGCCTCGAGCTCCCTCCGCACATCTTCTGGTGCACCCTGCAAAGAGGAGAGTGCACCCTCACGCCCTCAGGACATTCTCTTGATCCTCCTCCTCCTCCGCCTCCTCTCCCTTCTCCTCCTAATCCTCCTCCTCCTCCTCCCCCTCCTCCCCCTCTTCCTCCTCCTCCTCCTCCTACTACTACTACTACTACTACTACTACCACTACTACTACTACTACCCCCTACCTACCTACCTACTACTACTCCTACCTCCTCCTACTACTACTACTACTACTACTACTTACTACTACTACTACTACCTACTACTGTACTACTACTACTACTACTATACTCTACTACTACTACTACTACTACTACTACTACTACTACTACACTACTACTACTACTACTACTACTACTACTGCTACTACTACTACTACACTACTACTACTACTACTACTACTACTACTACTACTACTACTACTACTACTACTACTACTACTACTACTACTACTACTACTACTACTACTACTACTACTACTACTACTACTACTACTACTACTACTACTACTACTACTACTACTACTACTACTACTACTACTACTACTACTACTACTACTACTACTACTACTACTACTACTACTACTACTACTACTACTACTACTACTACTACTACTACTACTACTACTACTACTACTACTACTACTACTACTACTACTACTACTACTACTACTACTACTACTACTACTACTACTACTACTACTACTACTACTACTACTACTACTACTACTACTACTACTACTACTACTACTACTACTACTACTACTACTACTACTACTACTGGCGGTCTCGTGCACCACATCACCACGGCTCAACCACCTTGGGAAGAGCGTCCTTGTGGCTGCCTCATTGCCAGTATGTAGCGGGCACCTCTTCTGGGTGAAAGGGCGGGTCTGACGTGCATGCAGCGGCAGGCGCTTGTCCGAGGGCAGCTGGTCCCCACGGCCCAAAGTGAAGCGTCAGCGGCGGTACAGCAGCACACGGGGCGACCCCAGTACCGCCATCAAGGCCAACTAGCGCGGGAAGGCGCGAGAGGAGGCCAGGATGGCAAGCACTAATGGCAAGGCGCCCAGCGGCGGCGCGGCAGCACACGGGGCGACCCCAGCACCGCCAGCGAGGCTCACGAGCGCAAGTGTGCGTGAGAGGAGGCCAAGATGACAAACCATTTGGCAGGCCAGAGTAGCTAGGCGCACGGATGACCGCACGCTACTACTACTACTACTACTACTACTACTACTACTACTACTACTACTACTACGACTACTACTACTACTACTACTACTACTACTACTACTACTACTACTACTACTACCACTACTACTACTACGACTACTACTACTACTACTACTACTTCTGCTGCTGCTGTTGCTGCTGCTGCTGCTGCAACTACTGCTACTACTACTACTACTACTACTGCTGCTGCTGCTGCTGTTGTTGCTGCTGCTACTGCTACTACTACTACTACTACTACTACTACTACTACTACTCGTGATCATGAACATTACCACCACCAACACCACCACCACCACCACCACCACCATCATCATCATCATCATCATCATCATCATCAACAACAACAACAATATCATCATCATCAGCAGCATCATCATCAGCAGCACTAGCATCATAACCGTCATCAGCATCAACATCATCTTCATCATCAGCAGCAGCAGCATTCTCAGCATCAGCATCAGCATCAGCATCATCATCAACAGCATCAGCAACAGCAGAATCAGCAGCATCATAATCATCATCAACCTCATCAACAACATCATCATGATGAACAGCATCCGCCTCTTCATCCTTGTCCTCATCATAATCATCCAACTCCTTCTCATCGTCATCGTCATCATCATCATCATCATCATCATCATCATCATCGTCATCGTCATCATCGTCATCACCATCAGCATCATCATTAACATCATCATAGTCATCAGAATCAGTATCATCATCATCATCGTCGTCATCATCAGCATCAACATCAGCATCAGCATCAGCATCATCATCATCATCATCATCATCATCATCATCATAAGCATCATCAGCATCAGCATCGTCACCATCATCGTCATCCGCATCATCCTCAGCATCATCATCTTCGTCGACAGCATCACCATCATTATCATTATCAGCATCGTCGACATCATCATCATCATCATCATCATCTTCGTCGACCTCATCAGCATCATTACCATTATGAGCATTATCAGTATCAGCATCGTCATCATCAGCATCATCATCGTCAGCATCATCAGCATCGCCATCATTATCAGCATCAGCATCAGCAACAACAGCATCATCGTCATCGTCATCATCGTCATCGTCCGCATCATCGTCATCGTCATTATCATCAGCAACATCGTCATCGTCAGGAACAACAGCAACATCATCATCGCACCCACCACCAACACCATCATCATCATCACCACCACCACCATAAGCATCATCATTAGCATCATCATAGTAGTCGTCGCCGCCATCATCATCATTGTAGTCGTCACCATCATCAGCATCATCGTCATCATCAGAATCAGCAGCAGCATCAACATCAGCATCATCATCGTCCTCATCAGCAGCAACATCACCGTCACCACTATCATCATCATCAGCACCATCAGCATCATCATCACCACCACCATCATCATGATGATGATCATCATCATCATCATCAGCAGCAGCAGCAACATCATCAGCACCATCACAATCACCCCCATCATCATCATGATCATCATCATCATCATCATCATCGTCATCATCATCATCATCATCATCATCATCATCATATTCATCTTCATGTTCATACTCATCATCATCATCATCATCATCATGTGCATATTCCCATTACGCAGCATCCACATCATCTTAGCATGATCATCACTCACCCTCATCAGCATCATCATCACCACCACCATTATCTCATTGATATTCGTATTCATCGCCATCTTCATGTTCATCATCATCATCAGCAGCAGCATCATCATCTTCATCGTCAACATCATGATCATCATCATTAACATCATATTCATCATCGGCATCGTCATCATCATCATCGGCATCGTCATCGTCATCATCACCATTACCATCATCATCGTAAACATCATCAGATTCGTTCTCATCCTCATCAGCATCATAACCATCATGTATCACGCGCGTCATCAATATAATCATCAGCATCATCATCATCATAATCCTCATGCTCATCCTCATCATCATCGCCATCATCATCAGCAGCAGCAGCATCAGCAGCATCAGCATCATCATCACCACCACCATCATCATCGTCGTCGCCATCGTCATCGTCATCGCGACTGCTTCTTCTGACACCACTCCGCCGAAATACCAGAACGACCGAGTGCATTTGTAGCACCTCTCATCAGCAGTCAGAGATTAGGAACTAGCAAGAGGCAGCACACGACAAGCAGAGCACGGTTGCAATGCAGAACAGAGCTGGTGGCTAAAAAACAAACGTCGGACACGGCGCCCTCGAGACCAATGCCACAGGCAGCCACTCGTGGTGCACAACGTGCCCGTGCGTCACCAAGCGGCGCCCCCCCCAAGAAAATCTCTAACATTCGCTTCTCAGGGAACGCCGGGAGGAAGACGAGGACAAAAGTCGAGATGGTGACGGCCCCGTACCTCGAAGTTAATATCGGCGCAAGATGCCCCCCGGGACCCCGCAAATTAATACTGAGGGTCCGGCGATGCAGGGGGCTTGAATGGACAGAAGTCTTCGAACCGGAAAATCATCACCGATACTAAGACTTCGCTGTCTGGGGGGGGGTTGAGACTCCCCCTCATTGTAAGGGTTCGGATAGACTGTCCATCTGCTGGAGGCCGCTCTGATGGGGCCGGTGAAGATCGGGTCGGGAGACTCCCGCCACATGGCCGATGCATCGGCGACGTCGGGAGTGGGTCAAGATCGAGCTCCTGATCGCGCCGCATCGCCGATGCATCGGCGATGCGGAGCGCTCCTCCGACCCCACCTGCTCTGGCCTCCCTTGGGCGCCCTGGACATCCCGGCCCAAGACGGCTCAAACTCGGCCCATCTACTGACACAGCGCACGGCTGGCGTTGGAGAGATGGGGTGCAGCATCTATCTCTGAAGAGCGCACTATCCCTGTGAGGCGATCCCCCCGCGAGGGCCCCTTCTGCGAGCGGTGTCCCCCTGCTGGGGCTTCTTCGGTGCACGCTATCCCCAAGGTGGGGGACAGCGTGTGGTAAGCGGGCCACTGGCGCCACGTCGCACGCTATCGTTGCAACGCCAACCAGAAAGATACCCCGGGTTTCACAACAAAAGGGTGGTGGTCTGTTGGGGGGGGGGCCTGATTCGAGCTGTCCTGAAGGGTTCCAGTGGGGTCTGGGCAAAAGGCCGCCCTCTCAAGGCTTGTCTGGAGGGGGTCTAAAACTGTTCGTCTGGGAGGGTTGTGACTCCTCCTTCCCTTTTACTTCGAAATTTCGATAGTCAAAAGATCGCCAGGCAAACTGGAAACACCACACGAGCCGACCTGCTATAACCGCAGTAAGCAATTAAGACACCCCTGGGGTTATCGTCAGCACCACACCGTAACAAAATAATTATTGGGGGCGGTTTTCGCGGAACGATATCTTTAGCACTGCGCACAAGGAAGAAAAAGAAATAATTCCCGCGCCTTGGCTCGGGCGGTATCCCAATGGGAATATGTCTCAGGATGTCTCAGGAGGATGTCTCAGGCGAGGCGCCTGTTTCAGAACCACACGGAGGCTAGATTGCGAGAATGTTTCAGGCGGTTTCCTTGTTTCGGCGGGCAGACTCATCTGCGTTCACAGCAGGTTGCGAGGTGTCAGGGTAACGCTTCCAGGGTGCTGGAGCGTTATACTTTCGCCGGAGAGGGGGCGGTTCTTAATAGCTTCTGCAGGTTAGGCAAACACATAATTTGAACCGTGGCCAGAAGGACTAGCGAGGGGCTGCATGCGAAACAAGGAGGAAGGAGCGAGGAGGAGAGAGCGCCAGGGAGAGAGCGCCAGCGAGGAGAAGAGAACGTCAACTTTGGAGACACCATCACGCTGGGGGCCTAAAATTGCTCGTCTGGTAAGGTTGTGACACCCTCCCTTTTGTTACGACCGCTCGATCAGGAGATCGATCAAAAACCCGGGAACCTGGAAACCCAAGAATCCCGCCGCCCACCGAGATCGGTCCAGGACCAGCAACCGAGAACCTGGGACTCCAGAACCGGGAGCCCGGGAACCCGGCCGCCTGCCGAAATCGGCCCGGCACCTTCGCCAAATCCTCGAACCTCCGCCAGGGCCCCTTCAGTGCAAGCACTGCCTGGGGAAGTTGGAGCACCACCGTCACGCGCACCCCCAGCGCAGCCCCCCTCCCAGCCCTTGACGGCCCCCGCCGATTCTCGGCCAAAGGAGGCCGCGGCAGGCGGCCCGACGGGGACAGACCCGCGCGGCCACCCGCGGCCTGCCGCGGCGATGTCCGAGAGGCACAGCGATGCCCGAGCTCTGCGTGACGCTCAGCTTCCCGCCTGTCCCAATCGATGCTTGCCCCCTGCCCCTCCCACTCTCCGCCTCCCCCTGTCGCGGGAGAGAGAGAGAGAGAGAAAAAAAAAAAAAAAAAAGAGAGAGAGAGAGAGAGCAACAAAAAATGAAGCAATCAAAAAAGAACAGGAGAGAGAATGAGAAGAGGCCGAAGAGAAGGAATGGGCGAAGGAGACAGGAGGAGGAGGAGGAGGACAAGAGGGAGGAGGAAGAGGAGGAGGAGGAAGAGGAAGAGGAGGAGGAAAGGGAGGGAGATGGCGGCAGTGACATCGAGCGCAGGCGGGGGTGGCGGGCAGGCGAGGCGGTCCTCCAGGCCCATATCGGGTGGCACAGGCGGCGGCGGGGCCCGGCCCTGCTGCCAGCCAACCTCCCATGAAGCCGCCAAGAAATAGCAGAAAACACCAGGTAACTCCTCATCGCAACACAGTCGACCTCACCGACTACATGATCATCCTCAGCATTAACAATAGCCATATCATCAGCATCATCATCATCATCATCATCATCATCATCATCATCAGCAGCAGCAGCAGCAGCAGCATCAGCATCATCAGCATCATCAGCAGCAGCATCATCAGCATCAGCATCATCATCAGCATCAGCGTCATTATCATCAGCGTCATCATCATCATCATCATCATCATCACCATCATCATCATCATCATCATCAGCAGCAGCAGCAGCATCATCATCATCCTCATCATCAGCATCATCATCATCAGCATCAGCAGCAGCAGCATCATAAGCAACATCATCATCATCATCGTCACCAGCATAAGCATCATCATCATCAGCATCATCGTCATCATCGTCACCATCATCAGCATCATCATCGTCACCATCATCGTCATCATCTCTGAAGCATCAACCTCATCATCACAAGAAGCATCACATGCCTCCTCGTCTTCCGCCGCCTCTTCCGTCTTCCCCCTGCGTAGCATTCGGAGCTGAAACATGATGAAGGAAGGAAAAACGAGGAACAAGAACGGAAGGAGGAAGAAGGGTGAGGGAGGACGGAGGACGGAGGAACGAGGAACAAGAAGGGAGGAGAAAGGAGTGCAGAGACAGGGAGGAAAGGGAGATGGGAGGAGGGGAAGCTGCAGCGGAGGGTATACTGTAGTGTTGCTGTTCTATCGCCCAGCACGCATCCCCTGCTATCCTGCGCGTTGGACCGCGCTGCGGCCAGCGCGTCCGCGATCGCCCG